TTTGTGCTGCAAAATTACAATGATATTTTTATTATGAAAATATTATTTTTACCAAATTTTCCCATGCTACACTTACTCCCCTAGCCGTATCAGTAATATGTATTTTCATACATAGCAAAAGAAAAATTTCCATTAAAATAAATAATTTTTGTAGTTTCTGCATTTTGTATCGTGTCGGCGTGTTCGTTATCAACAGTTAGTCAGGCTAGTAAATACCAAAAATCAATTCGACTTTATATGGTTTTATGAATCAATTACACATTATCCCCTTACTAAATAGTAGATAATTACATTATTATGTTAAATAGTTAGGCTGGCGGATTTTTATCAAAAATTATGTAGCGCAACTGCCGTAGTCGGATGTGTTGAGTGCGATACTACTACACGGTACATGTTGTGTTCTGATCTTAGCTGAGTGGATCAATGCAGGAACTGTTACTTGATCCTATAGAGCATTTCAATAGATACTCATACAAGCATAAGCTTGGTCAAAAATATGGCTGAAAACACCTAACAATTAAGCGGCTGATATTGAGGTAGTAGAGGCCTTATTGTCAGTAATGTTGTCTACATCTTCAGTTTTAAACCAGAAAAAAACACTTCCAACAGTTTCAACCTTCACGGGTGCATTTCTTGAAACATACAAGGGTGTTACAATATGTCTATTATACTCTCGCAACCTGTTGCTACAGAGTATAATAGTTTTGTTCACCTAACGGTTGTTTGTATCACCTAAAACTAATCGAGGTAGATATAGGGTTATATATATATAAATGATCAGGATGAAGAGACGAGTTGAAATCCGGGTGACTGTCTGTCCGTCCGTCCGTGCAAGCTCTAACTTGAGTAAAAATTGAGATATCTTTATGAAACTTGGTAGACATGTTTCTTGATACCGTAAGATGGTTGGTATTGCAGATGGGCGTAATCATACCACTGCCACGCCCACAAAACGCCATTAATCAAAAACAAATAACTTGCCATAACTAAGCTCCGCAATAATATAAAAGACTGTTATTTGGTACACAGGATCACATTAGGGAGGGGCATCTGCAGTTAAAACTTTTTTTTTTAAAGTGGGCGTGGTCCCGCCTCTAATAGGTTTAATGTGCATAACTCCTAAACCGCTTATGCTATAATAACAAAATTCACTAGAAGCAAATGTTTTTAGCACTTCTATTGACGGTGTGAAAATAGTTGAAATCGGGTGGCAACTCCGCCCACTCCCCATATAACGGTACTGTTAAAAACTACTAAAAGCCCGATAAATCAAGCACTAAACACGCCAGAGACATTAAATTTTATCTCTGAGATGGTATAAATTGGCTTTATAGGAACCGCGTTCAAAATTAGTCAGTGGGCGTGGCACAGCCCACTTTTAGGTGAAAACCCATATCTTGAGATCTGCTTAACCGATTTCAACCAAATTCGGTGCATAACGTTCTTCTCATATTTCTATGTCATAGTGCGAAAATGGGCGAAATCGGACTACAACCACGCTTACTTCCCATGTAACACCATTTTCAATTCCATCTGATTCTTTCACTTTCCACTATGCAAATCAGGTAACAATGATTATATCGGGGTAAAACTTTGCGTGAATAATGCAATTAAAGTATGCCACCTTGCGGCCAAAAATTGTCTAAATCGAACCAAAACTGTTCAAGCCTCTAAGTACTAAATATGTGGGCCCCAGTGCCTATAGTTGACCTTCTACCGAAAATATCAGTCAATCCACAAAGAAATCTCAAACGAGTATACCATTTGACTTTGCGAGAGTATAAAATGTTCGGTTACATCCGAACTTAGCCCTTCCTTACTTGTTTTTTTTAAATTTTGACCGGTCGGTTTTCATGACAGCAGTATGCTCTAAACAATTCAGCTTGTCACACTAATAATTTATATATCAAGATATCTTTATAGGGTCTCCGACGTTTCTTTCTAGGTGTTCCAAACTTCGGACAAACTTAATATACACTGTTTAGGGTATAAAAATAGTGCAATTTTGAACTTTGTTAATTTTATAGATCATCTGTCGCTTGAACATAAGTATTTAACACGGACGTTATTGTTTTAAATAGACTTAACTTTAATTATTTTTATTTTATTTTATGTTATTTCACTTTACTTTATTTTATTTTATTATACTTTATATTATTATATTTCATTTTATTAAATTTAATTTTTTTAAATTTTTTCATTTTATTAAATTTAATTTTTTTTATTTTTTTTTAATTTTAATTTATTTTATTTCACTTTATTTTATTTTATTTAACTTTATTTTATTTTATTTAACTTTATTTTAATTTTATTTTATTTTATTTTATTTTATTTTATTTGATTTAATTTAATAAATTTTTTTTTTTTTGGTCTATATGGCCTATATCTACTCTGTTAATTTAAACATTTAATATATGATACTAAATTTTGAATCCATCCATTATCTTAATAATAATTTTAGAGTTAATTTTCTATCACTTTACTATGTTCATTATTAGCAAAGTAAAAAGAAAGAATAACAGTTGGGTTGAAACCGATCACCATTTAACAATGTGAAGCTCGTATTTTAGGCTATTTGATTACCAAGACCTTAACATTTTTAACACCTGGTCCACCGAAAACATAACGGAAATATTAATTAGTCATTTATACTTTCAAGACCACCGAGCTCCGTGTTGGCTACCCATCTCTTATTAGTATCTGCATAATTTTTTGTTAGCAACCATTATCTTAATAATAAATGTTTCCTTCTGCAGTTTTAAATGATATAAAACTAAGGCAACAGTCACTGCCAAGATATTATGTCAGACTGGATATCTTTATTGATCGTCCAAAATGTTGCTCACTTTTAGGCGCATAAATTAGTATTTTGTCTTCTTCTATGTATTTGTTAAAATTGCTTATTTCCAACTTGATGGCGCCAGCTGATAAAGCGCGAAACACAACCACTAATCAAATTTCAAGATATGCAAATCGCATTCGGCGATCGCCGATAACCGTAACGTGTTCAAAAACTGCGATTTAGTATTTGTAGCGCCACTGGACCACGGTTCGTAAATGACGATATTTACATTTTTATTTTACTATATTCGTCTCAAAGCAACGTAAGTTGAACTATCTATTTTATTAATATTCCAGCTAATAAAAATGTGTGTAAGTGGTAACAGAATATGAATATGAATAGATTGTAAAACACCCAAAATCATACAAGTATTAACAAAAAATGTATGAGAAAAATATATAAAACTTTATTTGACATTATATATAATATATACACAACCTAGTATAATTGAATCTTGTTTTATGATATGTACAGTATGGGGTTTTATGAGCACTAATATACTTTTTCTAGTTTCGAAACGATTCTGGATTATGTCATTAATTCGAACACCAAATAATCACATTTGGAAAAGCCCTTTTAAATAACAAACTTTTGTGTAACTAATACTGGTATTGGAGTACCTTATTCTACTTTATATTAGATTATATTATAACAAATAGTTTTAAGTTGAAAATTCAAAAAAATTGTTACCAAAATGTTCATCTGTGAGCTTCTTTAGAACACAGCAAACTCCTTGAGTTATGAAGAAGCTTTCACTATTTAAAGACTGTGACATTAAGGTATATATTATCAAAGAAATACTCTCCCCGAATTTCAATAACATATCTTACAGATTGATCGATATTTTCGAAAAAAATTCAGGCATATGCACTCTGGTTCACACGTTCGGTATGTGGGGGCTTGAACAGTTCTGGTCAGATATTTATGACTTTTAGACCTGAGGTATGCCATCCTCAAAGGCATATTTTGTCCAAAGTTGTGTTACATAGGAAGTAGGCGTGGTTACAGTTGCTCATTTTTACACTATTACATGGGAATGTCAAAATAATTATATGTACCAAATTTTAAAATTTTTTAAAATATGTAGGCGGTACCATGGCCATTGTCCAATTTTGGCACCAACTCTTTTAAGTCATCTCGGATATAAAATTTAATGTCTGTGACGCATTTTTATCAAAACCGTTATATGGGGAATGGGCGTAATTATCATCCGATTTCACCTATTTTCATGCTGTCGCATTAAATGTCGATATGATATGCCCTGTATAAATTTGGGTGATATAGCTTGAATAGTTTGGGAGATATATGAATTAAATCTAATAGGGCCGCCATCGCTTTTTAAAAGTTTTCAACCCACAGGTGCCGATCATTATTGCGATTCGTTGTACCAAATTAAGGTTTTGTATCTTAATTACGGATTAGTTATTGCAACTAATAGGTTTTCGATTAATAGCATTTTGTTGGCGGGACATTGGTCCGATTACGCCCATTTACGGACTCGTCCTCACTTTTTTGCCAAGGAACGCGTGTGATGTGTCAATTTTTACTCAAGTTATCGCTTGTACGGGCAGACAGTCACTCCGATTTCAACTCGACTCATCATCCTAATCATTTATATATATAATATATAACCTTATATCTAACTCAAGTATTTTATGTAATACAAACAACCGTTAGGTCAACAAAACTATTATACTCTGTAGCAACATTATGCAAGAGTATAAAAACGAATTTAGAAGGATTTTTTTTAATCTATGTTTTTAATGAATCTGTTTTAGTTTAAATCGATGACTTTGATTGTCAAGAGCGATTGTTTTTCCAACGATCGCAATTTTATAACTAAAACTTTCGCGCATACTTCTTATGATTTCTGACTTATAATATATATTTTGAATCTAGTTTTCACTGAACGAAATTAGGCATTTTTCATGATGGCCTTTAACCCAATCAATTCGAAGATAGTATTTATATCCTATATTATTATCTTGCAGTTATAAGGTTAGTCCATTTAAAAGCTCTAACAAATGGCTAACTTTGATTATATATATCTAAGCAAATTTTAACATATATTAACCCTTGATAAACTCTCTCAGGCCTCTTAAATTCACTTCTGAATAAATAGCAGAATATTTTCTTCTAGTTTACGAAAAGAAAATCGTTCATATTTTACAAAATTTGCACATTTTTATTTAACCTGCACACACAGCTGTTGCTGTTCTAACTGGAAATAGAACTTAAGAACTAAAAAAACAAAAACAAGTATATTAAAACTAGTCAACAGTTAATCACGACATTCGCTGGAAATCACTTGCGTAGCTTACAACCTTCTGCCGGGTGGCAAATATGCTTGTGTTTGTGGTGGAATGTAGGTGTTCGCGGGGGCAGCGGGTGCAGGTGCGGCAGCGGCCAGTGGCGCTGGAGCGGGAGCTGGAGCTGCTTTGCTGGCGAAGTCCAAAACGGGAGCGGTACCGGCATTGTGTTTGCTCGATGCACCGGGCAATGAGTCGTATTGCGATTGGATAGCACGCTGGGCATTCTCAGCATCAGCTGGTGTCCGGTACTTGACGAAGTGTACTTCGGGTTTGCTGCCAGTGCTCTGTACAGAGTTCAATTTGTTGGCCAAATCACCGATATCAGCTTGCTTGGTCAACACATAGATAGCGGTACGTTCATCACCAGCCGATTTGGCCAATTGTAAAGCAGCATTCTCGAGTCCGGTGTTTTCGGGTCCCTTAACGAAGATAACACGCAAGTTCTTCTTCAATGAATTGCTGATATTGTCAGCGGAGCCAGCATCATCGAATTCATGCTCGGGTGCTGAGTAAGTGTAGTATTCCTTATTGTATTCGTTGGTTGGTTGAGCGGGTTGGGAGAGTGGAGCAGCACCCACTTGCGGCTGCGTATTGGCGGCATATTCGTATTGAGCAGCAGCGACAGCAATCAAACAAAGCAACTGTAAGGCGCGAAAAGGAAAGGAGAGTTATTAGAGTTTTTTTAAGCCATTTCTAGTAACTATTTCGTTGTTCTTTAATGTAATCCTTTCATTTCAATAATTTTGTTTGTTTGCAAACTCACCACAATCACACGCATTTTGTTGTTTATAGAGAAGGTTTTGCCACGGAGCGTTTATTACTAAATGAGTATCGAACTGTTTATGTCCTAACAAAGCCGCGCACTCGCTATTTATAGGCAATCAGCTACGCATGGTTGCTGAAATATACCGCTGCCGTCGCCATACGCACTACACCAACACAGGTTGCGCCTAAATGCAGCTGCTTCAAGAGCAAAACTTGTTCGATCTAATAAATTAATTAAATTCAGCATTTGTTTGTATGTATGTGTGTCTCCAATATATCTAATTGGTACATAGTTTATTTTTATTTCTTTACAGCAGAGGGTCTGTTACAAAGTTGCATCTAAAATTTTACCACAATTAAGACCACACGTGCTGTCCACACATTCCTTATGTGATCAGAGTGCTTCAGTGTGGTATCGAAGTGCAAGATGTTGTCACGCTGCAGGTTAAAACAGGAAAATTTCAATGGCACTAATAAAATGCATTCCCAAAAATAAAAATAAATATATATTAAAACAAGTAAGGAACGGCTAAGTTAGGGTGTAGTCAAACATATTATACTCCTGCAACTTGTAAGAATCAAAAGGGAAAAAACATTCTGGTATTGGCAATATTCAAAAACCAATTTCATTTATATTTAATAATTATAATTTTATAACTTTTAAGAAAACATGTCCACTTAATTTTATTTAAGGTAAGTTTTCGAGAAGTATTGAACCCATTTTGGAAGTAAGGGTATATTATTGTCAATGGAACAATTTCACCGAGGTCCAGGTATATATCCCATAGAAGCACCGTTATTTTCGACTAAAAGTCAGTTATACGCACTGGGAACCACATTTTTGGTACGTGGGAGCGTGAAGAGTTTTGGTCCGTTTGTTACACTTGAGATGGCACACCTCAAAGGCGTTTGTTGGGCAAAAATGTATCTGAATACATTTTTATGCGCTTGATTTGTACACCTGAAAGTTAAAATATCAGATGGAGGTATGATATAGCTTAAAAGGTTTGGGAAATATATACCTTAAACCTATTAGGGAGCGGAGCCACTCCCACTTTCTGAAAATTTTCACATGTGTCCTTATTATTATTAAGATTTGATGCACCAAATTACAGTTTTGTATCTTAATTTGCGACTTCGGTTAATGGTGTTTTGTGGACGTGGCTCTGGTTCGATTACGCCCATCTACGAACTCGTACTCATTTTTTTGCCAAGGAACAAGTATACCAAGTCATTGGGGGATCTCAATTTTATCTCAAGTTGCAGCCTGAACAGGCAGACGGACAGACGAATGAACGGACGAAAAGAGAGGCATCCGGAATTCCACTCGTCTCGTCATCCGGATCATTTATATATATATAAGTCAATATTTATCTCGAATAGTTTTAAGTGGCACAAACAACCGTTAGTTGAACAAAACTATTATACTCTGTAACAACATGTTGCAAGCGTATAAAAACCTTGAGCTGCATTTGCATTCGAATTCGAGCACGTGTAGCAATATGCTACGCCCCAACAACCAAAACTGCATAATTATATATAACTACAAACGCACATCTACACACACAAATTGTAGGAAAATTTCCAATATCCGACATATATATTAGATGCAGAAATGCAGTGTGTTTCACCGCAAACGCTCACACACACCCACATATATACATAATACGTGCACGCACGCGTTAATATGGATATGTAAAACATGTTAATAGCGCCGCCACTTCATTTTGTTTTTGTCGTGTGTGTGCGCATGCGTGCTGTCATTTCGCCATATTTGTTTGCACATTTCTTTATGCTTCTTCCGCTTTGCCAAACAATTTCAACCAATAGCAAGTCGGCGCTGCCTTTTTGTTCATTTTTTTATGTTTTTGCGAAATTTCTGTTTTGTAGATCCTAAAACTATGCTTCGATTTTAATTTTTGCAATATATAATATAATATTTGCAAAATTTTAAATCTTTCTTGAATAGATTCGATACAATAACAGTTGTTGGCGTATTATCAGTCAATATGTAAGATATCTTAGCAAAATTAACTGATTAATATTGAATATACTATAGTTCAACGTATAATATTGAATATACTATAGTTAAAAATATATGAATTTACGAATTACCCCAACTTCCAACTACTACCTATAATGACATTCGATATTCTTAAATGTGTGAGTTTTATATTTATAAAATTGATTGAAAAGATGATCTCAAGTATATCATATCTATATATATATAAATAATTCAATTAGTCCATACCTTTCTCTGTCCCCAATATAGCCTGTATAATAATATCCGACTTTCCACCAAAAAATGTGTAATACTTTAATAAAATAAATAAACAAGTTTTGTTAAAAATTGTATCAGAATATGAATGAAATTGGCCTAGACATTGCTCCAAACCTTATATTCCTTAAATAATGTATTACGATCCACTGGTTGAGGTTTTCACATCAACTCATTATAAAAAATTTAGCTTGTTCAGTTGAGTTTATATCGCATATACATCATTTAAAGATAATTTTTTATAATATGCATAAAGTTGCAAAAATATAAAATGATGGGTAGATAAAACGACGCACGATTATTATTATAATATTAGTTGTACACAAAATTGCATATATTGCTAGATTCTATGACAAAACGTGCTTTTCTAAGGCCTGATGAGGCAACTGATACCAATTTGAACGACCTCAGTCCAGTCAGCATAGGAACCAACTTATACATACGGGATTATAGCTGCCACCTCTCTGAGCAAACTTTGCTATAAAAAGTTATCTTTATCGACCTCATTTGCTGGCACAGCCGAATGGTACAGTTATGACAGCAGCGTGAGAACTTAATGATAGAACACACTTCTTCCACCAGACCCATTAATATAGTTTCTCGGTTCAATTTAGAAAGAGCGAAATTAACGCAGCGCTTGTTTATACTTGTATAATAGCAATTATACTAATTTACAATGGATTTGTTGCTCTAGATATAAGATCGATTTCGGATATATTTATGCCCAAAGTTCATGAAACTGTCAAAGATTTCGTAAGATTTGCTCTCGTTTATTTTTAAATCTTTATTATTGTATTACATTACAAAAATCAGAAAACATGAAAATATTAACAGATATATTTTTAATGTCAGTTTTGTTTAAGAATGTATAGTAGTAAACAAATCGACAGATGTGGAAAACATATGTTGTACATATTTCAATAAAATAAATGCTCTGAGCTCTGTCTATAATTTTCCTGTCGACAATCTTTCTCTAAGGACCAGCAGTTATCTGCTATCATGGGACGATCCTTTCAACCTTATACCTTTCTTCTATCACTATATTTATCTAAATTATCTGAAGATTAATCCAGATGATTTCAGAAATAATTCGATTTGATACTCGTATCAACACAAAACTTTTCCACGATTCACCATCCAGAACAATCATAATTTTGATAAAATCTTTAACTGCTTTATTAAGTATTCAAACTTTTAATTTTCCACAAAAAACTTTGGAAATTTTTTACAAATTTATTTAAAACAATATTCTTCCACGTGAGAGTGGAAATCAGGTACCTCACCCTAATAATTACTGGAAAAATTAATTTTAATACTATCAAGGCGATAGTTGATTATAATATAATAGTTGCAATTATCATAAAAACAAGCACATTCGAAAATTTCATGAAGAAGAGTTCAATTGTTATCCTCTAACCCTTTGAGGATCCAACAATGCTACAAGTAATACGAAATTATGCCAAAACGACTGAGAGGTTCATTTCCTAAAATTACTCTATTGTAAAAAAATTAAAATCATCGCCCGACATTTGGTTTTAGATTTAGGATAATTAGAAAAAATCATTTGATTATATAATAAATAATAAATTTCGACAAATGGAGAAATGTTCCCAGAAGATTTCAAATTAAAGTCAATAGGAAAACAAATATATCGTGAAATAAAAAATGCCCAAACTGTCATTGAAAAACAACACTTTAACTACAGACACTATGCGTAATGATTAATAAATGGATGTAGTAGCAATTAAGAGAGAAACTATTAAAGACAATATAATAAACGCGGTCTTTAGGCCGTAAGTATTTTTTAGTACCTAATGAATCGCTATAAAGTGGACTTCGGTTAAGGATATACATATGTAAATAATATTTCGTATTTCATCTTAATATCATTATGATTAAATTCAAATTTTACAAATGGTTGATAGTCCCACGATATTTTGTTTAATAATTTACATAACTCTTTTTCATAACTAATCAAGCGGTGATTGATTGCATTTAATGAACATATTTTTTTCGATACTCATTTGAATTTCAATTAAGGCAGCGTTGTATTAAATTCTCAGAATAACACCGAAAATACTTGGAACTGTTGTATAACATTTCGCAAACAACAATATGTAAAACACAAATAATCTGGTAGTGACAAAAAAAAATTAAAACTGAAGCTATATACCAAATTTGGGTTAAAGATGGATTAGCGCTTGTATCAAGCAGTTTTTCTATCATAAATTAATTTCTTAATAAACTAATAATGACACCCATGGTGAAAAAATAGTAAAAAAAAAACCTCAATATGTTTACGGCAGAAGTCACTGAAACTCGCATAGATTATGACTAATAATCAGTATCAGACGCGACAGACTTGTCTGTGTGACTCATCAACTGTTAGAGCAAAAGTTCAGCGTTGAACTTCGAACTCTAAAAAGAATTGGACTCCATAGAGAATTTAGAAGTCCGAATTTTTAATACGAATGACAAGCGGATTGAAGTAAAATCGGCTTTATCTGACTATACAAAAATGCGGCCCAAATCCGTTAATACTTAATACATTTGTGTATGCTTAGCTAACTTAGAGCCATTATTAATTACGCTGATTATCATAAACTGTTAAAGTTGCTCATTTTCCGTTGGCAACGTAAACAATTAATACCACGAAATAAGCGCCAGGTATTATGTCACTTAAAAATAATCAGTTAACATCCATTATCTTATTCAATGGTATACACCTACATATATACAGACATTGTTGAATAAATATACATATGTATATA